TCCCCCTGTACATAACTGTGAGTGCAATAGTATGATGATTTAAGTTTCCTCTAAGTTATAATTGGCTAATAGAGACACTTGGTCTGAATAAGGCTGCAATGAGGGTGGGAAAGAGGGTAGAGTGTCCATATGGGCACTGAATGCCAGGAACAGAAAAGGAGGAAGGCCTCGGGAGCTGCTTCCACTTTGTGGTTGTGGCTGAGACGGGCTCTGCCTGTGCATGTTTGAAGCAGCCGAGTGCAAGTTCATAGGAATTGCTGCTTTTCTCAGGGTCATCTTCCTCCCTACGTAGAGGACCCTGGTGCTCAGGCTGTATCCATTTGGAGGCTTTTCTCCTATGTATGATCTCTCACGGAGATTTAATTCACTTTCTGGGCATCACTGTCACGTCCTTGAGAATGATTCTCAAATCTCTGTCCTCCTTGGCCTTGAGAGGATTTTCCATGTCTAATATAGTTTGTGCTTTTGCCCTGTGATAATCCATTGTGTTAACAAGAATTGCACATATGCCATTGTTTAGTGTCAGGCTGTGTATGGTTCACTAATGACTGAAAAATTATACACACCCAGCTCTGACTGCTCTCCTGCATTTCAGTAGCATGCCTCATACTGTCTGCTGGAGAGTGACCCTGCAATGTCATTGTAACCACAAATAGCCTGACTGTAATTGAACTCATTATGTCTTCCCCAAATCAACTTGCCTCTGACCTCTCCTGACTTTATTCATTAACGCCCACGTCTCCTGTCATCCTGGCTGCAAGATTTGGGGTCATCCTTCATCACTCCGTCTTATGCTCTCACCAAATCCAAGCACTAAGATTGTCCCTGTTCACCCGGTGGAGTGCCAATTTGCCATTTGTTCTTCCTTTTCATTGCCCAATATCTTCTTAGTATCCTGGTTAACTCACAGTAGGATACTTCCACCCACAACGCCTCCTAAATCCAGGTTCTTTTCTCAGTATACCGTCAGGGCCACTGGTGACTACCCTGTGTATGTGACTCTTCATCAAGCCTGTTTCATTCAGCAGAGGCTTTTCTGTATTATATTTGGCAGTATAATGTTTTTGTTTTTTTTTTCTCGAGAGGAATATTATTTAGAAGGCTGTTATGTAAGAGAGAGAATCATGAAGATTCTCTGGTGGAAGATGGGCTATGAGAGCACAATCCCCTTGACCTGCCTCAGCTTTCATGGCAGCCTCCTTGGAGCTCAAGAGGTCCACAGAGTCAGTTTGAAAACATGAACTTACAGAATAAACAACTGGAATGGCATGTATGTTTTCTTCAAAATGTATTTTCTTAAAAAAATATTTGTTATCAATTTATGCAAACCTTCCAATCCAGTCATACAAGTGCATGTAAAATCCTTAAATGTACAGTGTCCTCATCCCTGGCTGGGATAATAATATTTCTCCTGCCTGAGTGTCTGCAGTGCCATCCATGCATCTCTGATAATCTAAACTCTACTTTTCTCAGCCCAGTCCCACCTCCCCTTAATGGGTTTCTGGATCATCCCCTATCTCAGCAATTTTTTTTTTTTTTTTGAGACAGAGTCTCACTCTGTTGCCTGGGCTAGAGTGCTGTGGCATCAGCCTAGCTCACAGCAACCTCAAACTCTTGGGCTTAAGTGATGCACCTGCCTCAGCATCCCGAGTAGCTGGGACTACAGGCATGCGCCGCTATGCCCGGCTAATTTTTTCTCTATATATTTTTAAGTTGTCCAGCTAATTTCTTTCTGTTTTTTTTTTTAGTAGAGACGGGGTCTCTTTCTTGCTCAGGCTGGTCTCGAACTCCTGAGCTCAAATGATCTGCCTGCCTCGGCCTCCCAGAGTGCTAGGATTACAGGCGTGAGCCACCGCGCCCGGCCTCAGCAATTTTTCTTTCTTCAAACCCTGCAGTATTCCTTTCCTGACACCCACCCTGTACTATCTTCAACTTCTGTCATTTGTGGTGCATATTCAATCTCTCCCACTTAGATAATAGGCCACTTATGGGAAGAATCAAGTGTTTTGCTGCCTTTTGTCCTCAGCATCTAATATAACATGCTGCTCCTAGACTTCGCTTAGTTGGTATGTTTAGATGACAACCCACAGCAGGAAGTAATATCTATAGGCCCATCGATCTCACTTTCATTAATAGAAGTCTAAGTTAAATCTCCTATCTTTGAAAATGTTTCTCCAGAGTAGCCAGAGCAGTGCTTTTAAGAGAACCAGTCACTATGACTTTAATTACCAGCATTACTTTTTTCTCCAATTGCCATTAAGCCTACAGCTAGCTTCTTCGCCTGCCTTTCATTAAATTATGTTGAAAGTTAGATTTGGGGAATGACAACAGATGGTTTTAAGTGCAGAGTTCTTAGTCCAGACCAGAAGTAGTGTTTTAGCCCATCCCCCAACTCTTCAGCAAAGAGACATATAAATCACATTCTAAAGATTATAAGAAGCTTACATTAAGATACAAATCAAACAGTGTCACTTCCCTTTTAAATACCCTTTAAATCCCTTAGCATGTTTTGCATGGCCCTGTATAGTGTAGCCATCTCCACCTCTTCATCCTGTGGCTACCACCCACCCCCACTCCCCACACCCCGGCCGCAGGAGCAGGCTTTCAGTTCCTGGACTGCCACACTTCTTCCTTCCTCCTGCTTCCTGTTAGTAGCAGCCTCTGCCTGGATGGTCTTCCCTGCTTCTTTCCTGATCAATTCTTGGCATCCTTTGAGCCTCAAGTCTGCTTGTCACTTCTTTAATAGGGTTCTTCTCTGATCTCCCATATTATTTGCTTTCATAGTCCTTGTCATGATTTCAATCACATATTGTGAATTAATTTGTTTTGTGTCTGTGTTACCCATTAGACTATAAGCTCTAAGATGTCAGAGACTATATAAATCCTATGTACTACAATATTTTCACTGCTTAGAATAAAGCCCAATGCATAATAGATGAATGACTATCCTAAAAGACTTTCAGAGACACAAATAATTCTAATATTATTAACACCCAGAGATTAATTCTCCTTCTTGCTCCTGCCCTCAATGGACATAGTAGCCTTCTCTAGGTCATGTAATTCACATGAAACATGCATACATGTTTTATAAAGTCACTTCCACTTTTATAAAAACAAACCAAAACCACCAAGCATTGAGCAATGAAAATCTTCACTTGCTCCCAAACAGCTTAAGTTATTGAGTATAATATGAAAATTTAAAAGTATTTGTTTCATTTAAAATTGTCTCATTTATGCATATTAGCATGGGTTTTCCTGTAATTCTTTTTTAACATTGTTTTAAAAATATATGCTGTCGGGTAAAAAGTGCAAGAAAGTATTCTCATAGCTATGAAATATCGACATGTTGAAAGATTTTAGTATATGCTTATCAGTAAATTTAATGTGGTCCCTTTCCTTTAAGGTGCCAACAACCCCACCAATATGTCCATGACCTATTTCTGTCTCCTTTCAGTCTTGAATTACCCTGCTGACTCAGACAATTGGAGAACAAATTAAAGCCAACTTCAGAGTTTTTTTCTGATAGAAAAATCTGACCTTAAAGAGCCCAAGTCTTGAATATCTTTTTGTCAGGGTGCTAGTAGTTCACCAAATTTACATTGAAGATTTCACATGTTCTCACTTTTAATGTTTTTACTATTATTGTCTTAACTGGAATGGGTACAATACTCAAGTGGTTAGTCATTCCCTTTCCCAGTATAAATTATTATTCAATTAAAAGGAAGGGAAGGAGAAATCTTATTCTATTCTACAACAGATTTCAAACCCATGGATACTTCTGCATTATTCTTCTTATACTCACCTTTCTCCTTTTATCACCTTATATCCAATCAGAAAAATAGCAGTGTAAATAAATGATAAGTTTTGAGGGTGGGTATCAAACACGTACCTAACTTACAGCAAGAAGAAACCTAGTTAGATGACATCAAGCCTTTCTCTGTAGTGACTGACCTGCATACTTCTAAATTATCAGACCCATCATCGCAGGTGGCAGGAGGCTTCTGAACAGGGTTATGCACCGGGAGCCCTGCATCTTCCGTGTACTTGTTGCCTTCTTTAATTGCCAGCATTTCAGTGCTGGAATCTGCCTCTGAGAATCTCTTCTTTGTTATTTCAGTTTGCCTAAGACTTTGCAAGAGCTGAGAATCTCTGCGGTGGTATCTACCTTTGCTATTCTCTTGGTTCCTTGGTGATCTCTTAATCTCAAAGGATCCTCTGGTCAGGAAAGGGCTGCACTCTTGGTACCTTGTGCCTTTTCCTCTGCAGAGATTTAAAGAGCAACTCTCACATTCCATAGGCTCTTGTTGATTTTTACCTTTGGATCCCAATTCAACAAGCTCAATTCCATTAGGAGTAGAAGACCCATCTAAGTTTTTGCATGGCTTATTAGTATTTCTCCTTCTTCTTCTTGACAGTCTGAATTTAACCTGTGCTCTTCTTTTTGCCTGAATCCAGTGACTGTCATCTGTGGAAGATGAATCTGAAGAATCTGTAGAAAGCTCCCTCCATCTGGGGCTTGAGATTTGGAGGTGAAAATCATTTCTTCTCCCTTTTCTTTGTTCTTCTGCATGCTCATATCTCTCAGAGGCCCTTCTCCTCCTTCTAGGTCTCTGTTTTACTGGTTTCTTACCAGACTCCTTCCTAGCAGGGCTCAGCACCATGACAGGGGTGCAATACTCAAATGCCTCTTCTGACATGTCATGCAAGATGGCAGATCTAGACAAAGCAGCAGGCAAAGGATGGGAAATGGGAATGGAGAGGAAAGCCATGGAGAAACAGAGAGAGAGAGAGAGAATGATGAAAATGACAGCAAGGACCAGAAGTTGATAAATAAAGGTCAACTGAAGAAAATAAACTAAATGAAAAAAAATTAAGCCAGTATAAATTGTCCATGGACAATGTAAGGCAGAAGCAAGAGCCACACATTCTCAGAATAAAAAACAAAAACACAAAACACTGATCTATAAAATATTGAATAAGATCATTTGCTCAGCACTTACCTACAGATGTCCTGAGTGGATGGACAGACAGACAACCTTGATTGGCTCCTGGGAGCTGTCCCTGTTGTTGGGCTGCTTGCCTGGAGAAACAAGTTAGATAATTTGGCATCTTGGTTAAGATAATACATAGTTGATATCTTGCTTTTTTTCCACATATTTAAAAAATTACAACAAACGTGGCTGCCGGTCATGTTGCTCATAACGCAGTACACAGAATATAGGAAGTTGGAGGGTTCGTTTTGCAAAAGTAAAACTTATTTGAGGAACTTGGGACAGCTGAGGTGCTGTACTATTTTGCTGTTACTTCATTTGTGAGAGAGGAAGATGATTCCACAAGTTTCTATTCTATTTACTGTAATCACTTGAGTGGAATAGCTCAATTTGCTTGGGAAACAAGGGAGTAACACTTGAAGATCCTGTGATATAAAGGACGAAAGTACTGTTATGTGACAAGGATGATAATAATTTGGGAAGCCTAAATAATCAAATAGCCATTATATTGTTAGATACTGCCTGTAGCTAACATCAAGGCACCATGAGATAATACGTTTGAAAACACTGTGTAATATCTAAAGGCCTGCAGTTACTGCTATTATTATTTCATTGTTGAGACTGATAAAACCTATCTATTGCTATACTTTGGACCCTTTATATCTTTTAACCCTGTGACCATACTGAGCCCGAGAATAAGAAAGCCTGAAATAATTCAGATGATTAGCACAAAGTTGAGTATATTTCAGTAAATTCCTACCTTTGAAACCCATTTCCTTCAGTCTGACTTTAACTTTTATATTTAATAAAGATGATGATGATGATACACCTAAAGCTAGAATGTAGGGATTATTTACTGTGTGGTAGGCCTTGTGCTATGGCTTTATCTACTGTCTCCTTAATTTTTACAATGATCTTACAAGTGGAAAGTGACAATAACTAGCAGTTTTGAGTGAATATTATATGTTAGTTCCTATTTTAAGCCATTTTCATGTATTTATTTATTAATACCATAAATGTATGTGGTAAATACTATAATTATTTCCCTGTTATAGCTGAGGGAATGGAGAGATTGAGGCTGCTTCTCACTAATAGGTGATAGAGCAGAGATTTGGATCAGGAATCTGGCTTTACCATCTGTTCTCTTGTCCACCAGCAATACAGCTTCTCCATTGCATGGGAGGAAACCAAGGAAGTCCTGGGTCCAGATTCAGGCCTGTCTGACTGTATAGATGAAATACACAATTTTGCCACCAAGAAAATAACAGTTAAGGTAGAAAGATAACCCCAAATTTCAAAGTCATTCTAAAAATTCCTATATTAGAGATATATACCGATGATTATGGGATTCAGAGAAGGAGAAACTAATCCTACCCAACTCAAGAAGTCAGGAAAAATTCGAAGAGAAGGTATAATAGGTTGAATAATGGTCCCCCAAATATATCCACATCCTAATCTTTGGAAATTGTGAATATGTTTTCTTACATGGCAAAAGGGGCTTTATAGATGTGATTAAGTTAAGGATTTTGAGATGGGGAGATTATCTTGAATTATCCTGGTAGGCCCAATGTTATCATAAGTATCCTTATAAGAGGGAGACAGTAGAATTAGGGTCAGAGAGAGATGATGAAGAAGAATAGAGATAAGAAAGGAGGGAAGATACTACACTGGTGGCTTTGAAGGTGAAAAAATAGGGGTCCCTGAGGCAAGGAAGGCAGGTGGCTTGTAGAAACTGGAAAAGTCTAGAAAATGGGCTCTCTCTTAGAGCCACCAGAAGAAATTCAGCCCTGCTGACACCCCAATTTTAGCCCAGTGGGATCCATGTTTGGCTCCTGGTCTTTAGCACTATAAGATAATAAATCTGTGTTGTTTTAAGTCAAAAATATTTGTGGTAACTTGTTACACCAGCCATAGAAAACAGGAGGAGCCACTTTAGCTAACTTTAAAAGGGAAAAAGGGTTACTAAAGAGAGGTAAAAATATTCTGGGCAGAGTAAATAGTGTGCTGAGAGAAGGATGGCACTCTTAACCTGCTCCAGTAGACTGATAGATATCTGCACACTTCTGATTTATAATTTTCTCAGTCTGTTTTTTATCAACCTATGAATATTGGGTGTATTTTTAAATCTTTTTACATCATGTTTGATCGCCAGTCCATTTTCAATAACATCTGTATCAAAATTCACTTCTTCAGAAGGCAGTATAGAGAGGGACTCAAAGTAGCTGGCTTGGATTGGCTCAGAACCAAGAGGGACTCCCATTGTGGAGAAAAGGTAAGTGGAAGATTCCCAGAAGTCCACATTCCCACCACAGATGCCTGCAATCCTGGCTAGAGGAGAGCCCCTCAGCCTTCAAGGCCCTGAGCCTAGTATAGGGAGTTCCTGGAGTCCATATGACTGCACTGTCCTAAAGAGGAAATCCACACTGGGTCCTCTCCACCTCCTGGGACCCAAGCTGCTGCAACATGGCACCATTTTGAGAGCAGAACTACTTCCAGAATATATCTTAACCTCGGGCCCAATAGTACTTGTATCTCCTCATCTCTGACGCTTCACTGACATTACCCCATATCCATCCAGAGGGCTGTAGCCTCACTACACCAGCTGGACCTAGCAGTGTCACATTACTGTCACATGAGTACACAGAGCTCCTACACCTTGGAAAATAGGCTGTCCAGTGAATTAGGGAGGCTTCCCCAGGATATAAGAAATTAAGGTGTGTGATCCGCAGAACCTGAGAGTCACCTGCTTGAGGTCACCACCAATGTGGCCAACCTGCCCCCTCCAGTAACAAGGCCAATGCTTGTCCACATGTATGCTATCAAGGAACCTGAGGACTGGCCTGCTTGGGGCACACTGCTGCCACCAAGAAAGTCTGCTTCCAGCAACAACAGTGCTCCTGAGGATCAGCCCACCTGGCATCATTGACCCCCATAAAACTGCCACACAACCTCCATAAAAAACCATGGCCTGGGTCACTGAGGGACTTCAAGACACTGATGACATTGATTGCAGCCAAAGAAATTATACAAAAAAATAAAGCCAAAGCACCCTACCCAACTGACACTATAGATCTACATCTACATCTACAGAAAAATGTCTTTCCCTACAAAAACTTTTCCCTACAAAAGCTACTCCATAAATTTGGAAGAAGTGACCATTACACCAGATTCACATATACCAATATAGGGAAAAAGAAATATGAAAAAGCATGGAAACATGACACCTCCAAAGGAATGCAATAATTCTCCCATAACAGACTCCAAAGAAAAGAAAATCTATTAAAAGGAATTCAAAGCAATGCTCTTAAGGAAACTCAGTGAGATACAAAAGAATACAAACAGACAATACAAAGAAATCAAGAAAACAATTCATGATCTGAGTGAGAAATTCAACAAAGAGATAGATATCATAAAAAAGAATAAAGCAGAAATTTTAGAACTGAAGAATCAATGAATAAAATAAAAAATACAATTAAGCCCTTCAACAATAGACTAGGGCAATCAGAAGAAAAATTTCTGAACTTGAAGACAGACCTTTCGAAATAACCCAGTCAGACAAAATAAAATGAAAAAGGAATAAAAAAGAACAAAGAAAGCCTACATGACATATGGGACACCATTAAGCAAATAAATATTTGCATTTGGGAGTTCCAAAATGAGAAAATATGGTAAAAGGAATAGAAAATCTATTTAATGAAACATAATGAAACAACTGAAAACATCTCAAATCCTGGGAGAGATACAGACATTTAGATACAGAAAACTCAAATAATCCCAAATATATTCAACCCCCAAATTTCCTCTTGAAGGCACATTAGAGTTTAGCTGTCAAAAGCTAGAGATGAAGAGAGAATTCTATTAATAAAAGCAGCAAGAGAAAAGTGTCGAGTCACGTATAGTGGAATCTCCTTCAGACTAACAGCAAATTTTTCAGCAGAAACTTTGTGGGCCAGGAAAGAATGGGATGATATATTCAAAGTGATGAAAGAAAAAAAATTTCTAGCAAAGAATACTATACCCAACAAAGCTACCCTTCAGAGATAAAGGAGAAATAAAATCTTTCCCAGACAAGCAATAATTGAGAAAAATCATCACCACTAGACTGGCTCTACAAGAAGTGCTTAAGGCAGTCCTACACCTGGAAGCATAAGGACAATATCTGCCATCATGACAAGACATGAAAGTATAAAACTCACTCGCAGAACAGCTACACAAATGAGAAAGAGAACGGATATCTGTTATCACTACAGAAAACCATGAAACCAAAAAGATAAACAATAAAAGAGTAAGAAAGGAACAAAGGATATGCAAAAAAACTGAGAAAACAATTAACAAAGTGACAGAGTGAGTCTTCATCTATCAATAACAACCTTAAATGTAAGTGATTTAAATTCCCCAATTAGAAGGTATAAACTGGCTTAATGGATTTTAAAAAAGATCCTACTATATGCTGCTTACAAAAAAAAAAAATCATTCCACCTTTAAGGACAGACTGAAAGTGAAAGTACAGAAAAAGATGTTCTACACAACTAGAAACCAAAATTGTGAAGGATAGCTATGCTTGTATTAGAGAAAATAGACTTTAATTAAAAAACGTAAAAAAGAAAAAGAAGATCATTATGTAATGATAAAGGGATCAATTCAGCAAGATGATATATCAATGGTACATATACATGCACCCAACACTGGAGCACTCAGATATATAAAGCAAATATTTATTAGAGGTAAATAGAGAGATAGATCCCAATACAATAATAGCTCGGGACATCAACATCCCTCTTTCAGCATTGGACACATCATCTAGACAGAAAATCAACTAAGAAACATCAGACTTAAACTGCACTACAGACCAATGGACCTAACTGACATGTACAAAACATTTCATGCAATAGCTGCAGAGTACATATTCTTCTCATTAGCACATGGAACATTATCCAGGATAGATCACATGTTAGACCACAAAGCAAGTTTCAAAAATTAAAAAAATCAAAATCATATCATGTATCTTTTCAGACCATAATGGAATAAAATGAGGATCAATAAAAAGAGGAATGCTGGAAACTGTACAAATACATGTAAATTAGACAAC